GCAAAACTAATAAAGGTAAATAATAAAATTTCTTATTATCATTTGTGAATTAACTTTTGTAAAAATGTTAGATGTGTTGAGCTCAAAATCAATCTCGGCTAGAATAACATTTTTAATGGAAAATCATATTTAAATTTTTTAAGTAGCGACAACTAACACTTTTTAATAAACCTCAAAAACTTGCCATTCACATTTTAGACTTTCAAGGTGACAACTTTAATCCAATAAACTCTCAAAATAAGTTTTTTGTTCGCATTGACATTTTACGAACAAAATAATTAATTTCGTTAATTTGGGTTGTGAATAGATTTTACAAAAGAATTTCAACTGATGAATTATTAGATTCTGATTGTTTTTACATTACGGTGTAGTAAAGGTTGAACAATGGCACCACCAACTGGCAAAGACAAAATACCATGTTTGATTTGTCTACACACTAATGAAAATTAACAATCAACATTCTGTAGATGATTTGACAATATTTTCTCCTCAGATTTGGATCGTGGATAAATGAAGAAGAAAAGAGAATTTTCATTGTCAAATTATTAGAAACTGATTGTTTTTATATTATGTGAGAAGCGGTTCTAACAATGGCACCACTAACGGTCAAAGACAGAATACTATGTTCGGTTTGTCTACACTTAACAATAATATTCTTTAGATAATTTGACAATATAAAATTTTCTTCATAAAGTTTGGGTTGTAAAAAGGTGAATTTTTTTTTACAAATAATAATATGCCAATTAACTTTACCTTAACTAAAGTTTTCTTAAACATAAGAGATTGTGGTGGACAGGTTAATAACTTCCGTATAAAAATTGTTTTGTAAATGTCTATGCAATGTGAAATCTGGTCTCTTAACATATACATAACAAAAAAAAAACACGTCTATACTTATTTGCAAACAATTAACACAAAACCCTAGTTAATATCTCCAGAATCCAATCAAAATTTCAGATAACGCCAAAAATTAAACTCGCAAAAGAAAATTACATAACAAATAACGCGACAAACAAACAATAATCACAGGATCACGAAGATACCATCTTACCCAAGGATTATATATAAACCATCTCTAATGCATTAGAAATCAGGATACGATAAAGAAACATTGCAGAGAATTAAAAAAAACTTACTTGAAAAAGTGTGTCTTCGTTACGGTTTAAACTTGTTCATGTAATATCCAAAGTCTCCAGCTTTCACAAATTCGAGAACGACCCAAAATCTATAGTTTTAGCAAAACATAGTATGAGAAAAGTGGATTCAGTTTTGAAATCTTCAAATATAAGAACAGAATGTAAGGATTTAATTTCGCACTTACTTGAATTTGAAAAAAAAAGGGAGGAATTTGGTTTGTAAAAACTGACCATATCAACTAATGATGTATTTATAGAATAAAACTCAAACTCAACGGCTAATTTTTCATAACGGCTAATTTATTCCCAAACTACAAGTTTAATTTCTTTTTCTTTTTCTGATAGTTCAATTGATACGACGCATACTTGAATTTAATGGTCGTTTCAATGGCAAAGAACGTCGTTTTAGTGAAGCAACGTGGTTGAAAAGTAAGCCACGACGTCGTTGTTTCGTAAGGAAGGGGTTACAAAATGGAGCGATGTCGTTTTAAAATGAGTCATTTTAACGATCCAGCCCTAATGAACATGGGCCTTGGTCTGGGCTTTATAATTTTTGGATGTGTAGTAATGTTACGTTACCCATATAAAAGCCGTAACTCTTGATATCAGTGGGAATTAATTGCATCAAACATCTCCTCAAAAACAAATTGATAACATAAAAAGAAAAAGTTTATTTTTACAAGAATAATAAACTTTCGAGTTAGCTGTTAC